CTTCTAAAATCATAAGACTTACACCGTTCGTGGAATTTAAAAAAAGATGCCATATTGATGTAAAGATCTGCAAGAAAGAACGTCATATTTTTTTTTGAAAAGTGTTGCCGCCTAATTAATTTTTATTTTTGGGGAGATCATCAGATTTACACCGTTCTGTCGATTCTCCAAATGAAATTTCAGATGAAAAATATTGACCTACAATAAATCAATGAATCTATGTGTTTTACCATCTGAAAAATTTTTGTTTTTTTTATTATTTTTAAAATTATGATCTATATTCCAAATTTTAAACAAAAAGGTCAAAAATTAGTTTTTAACAACATTTTGACGAGATGGAATCTCAAAATAGTTAGAAATTATGAATACGCGTATTGTGAATACCTGGGCTTTGGTGTATAAAGCTCATTCGTTCAGTGACCGTGGGCTTCCTTCTCTGACACAATACTCTTGACTACCTTGTTACCTCCCTGAAGCTTCTTGACACTCCTCATCGTGCCAGTTGTTCTTTTGGACTCGCTGAAATCCGACTATTTCTTCGGCACATGGTTTGAAATGTGGATTTATATGGTGTTTGTTAAATAATGAGCTAGACTTTTATGGAAAAATAATAAACATTAAGTAAACAAAAGAAAAATAACCAAAATTGTTAAAAATGTTGACCACTTAATTAGCTGATCACGAGTGTATGTTTATTTTTTATTTTTCCTAAAACTTGTATCTATCTTAATTATAAAATGTACGATAAAACAAAAACACCTTTTTATTAAGCTTGTAAAATTGTTTTAATCAAATTTTATTTTATTTTTACTTTGAATTTAAAACACACTTTGTATGCATTTCGGGCAGCTTTCCGCTCATCATCAGCAACACGACTGTATGTAGGTACATATCTTAATATAAATAAGTATTAAACTATCAATTATCGTTTACTTTCAGTAAATTTTTAACTAAGTTCGATACTATTATTGGAGATCATAAATAAATTTTCATTTGAAGCCCACTTTGTAATATTTTAATTAACTAGAATATTTCAAGCAATAAATTAGAAACTATAGGAAAACCATCGAAAATTTGCATACAATTACACAAAAGCCCTCTTAACCAGCTTTCGTTTGATAGCAATATCGAATGTCCTTAATACATTACTTACCATTCCTAGTTATACATTTCTTTAATAAGTGCTAATCCTATTAAAAACACCAACATATTAATTTAGTCTCAAACCCCTTTCC